CATACAAAAATTCACTCATATCACAGAGTTCTCGTCTGATTACAAATCGCACATGCCACATGCACGCATGAAAGTGACGGTTCTCGGTTTAATGAATGAGTGAGCCGACGACTCGTGATCAGATTCGTGCATGAATCGTTCGGACTTGTTCTGTGAACCGATTCATTAAAAGGATCCGGACATCGCTGCCGCGCGAGGTAATGCAAAGAAAGGTTCATAGGCAAAGATGGGTTAATTGAAGCTTAAAGCACATTGAGTACTGATCGTCGTGGGTTTAAAGCGAACGCACAAATCTAGTGTAACAGGCTTGTTTCCATAGCAGCCCCATTGCAATAAACAGCGAGCTTGCGCCTTCAAAATCGCATTATCCATAAAATTATCTAAACATTTGCAAGTATAGGTGAGGCAAATGCACGTATTTTAGTATTTGATAGTCAGTATATGGATGAGCCTCGACTCTGACACGATCCTTTTATACATCACGCTATGAGGACGATATAACGGCCTTAGATGTTGTATTGTGATGTAAGGTAAATAACACTGAGATCAGTGTTGAAAGAGATGATGTATTTGATATATATCTGATGATTAAAATGTCTTACCTTTTCCTGAGCCCTGGTAATTTTTTTCTGTACACTGCTTGCTATTTTTCCTGCGGATACCCCTCTCCCCATCGGTAATTCAGCCATTTTTATCTGGATTGTGTTCTTTGCTAATAACGCGTCAAAAGAGCATTTGTCACAATATCTAATTCAACAGATTAATTTTTCCCCTCAATGCAGGTGCATTAAATTCTAGGCCTTATAATAACACTCGCCCCTGGAACAGAATGAACCTGCACAAGCGCACACGATACAGATGGCCATTGACCAATGACAATAGCGCAGTCTTAAAGGGACAGTAAACTATTTTTCATGTCACACAAACGTAACCCATTATTTTAGACCTGTTGTCGATTTTTCAGTGGTTTTACAGTGAAATGTGTAATAGAAATATTTATACTCGAGGCCAGGTCTTTATATTGTACAAGAGTTGTTTCTTCTGAGGGACGTATTGACCAGCTGAATTACTGAAAATGGATTCAAAGCTACTACTTCAAGCTCATAAACAATCATAAAAACTGGACTCAATGATTTGCTTCAGTAGTCTATTTAAATCAGTAACATTTGCTTTAAATACATTAAAAAGGAAGAAAAAGGGAAAATAAATGTTTGTGGGTTGTGCATGGGTCAGCCTCATGCGGATTGGCATGAACAGAACTCCATAAACTCCAGAGTTTCTCCGCAAAATCTCCATCACATTTCAGCAGATGGCTCTGATTTATTTGTGGTACACAGCCAGCCTCTTAGTGGTTCGTGGATCAAACATTTATTGGAGCACCAGAATTAGGCAGTCCAGAGCATTTGATAGTTTGTGGTGAGACCTCAAAGCACAGCCTCTAAGGAAGCTGCAAGTGATGAAATTACTATTTCAAAACCAATAGCCATCGGTTGCATGCACAACAACAGAAACAAAAGGAAAATATTAATATATATAAGATGAAACGTACACTAAATATGTCAAAGGTAAAACCAAATATTAGTGTATTTGTACTGTGTCAAATATATAGATTTAGGTGGTATAAGTGAACTCACCTATATGCAAAATAACCACTCAAATCATGCAAACATGCAAATGTGACCTAGAATGATATATATACTGTATATCCTGTTGTTTTACAAAATATAAATGACAGCTAAGGATTCCAGAATAATTCTGTTACAAAAAAAAATACCACTGTAAAAATGCAAACAACTTCAAAACAGTTTAAACCCATCGTAATTATGAGAGAGAAAAAATAACTAGTAAATCCAAAACATTTAAACCATCCCATAGCCCTTTTTGCTGAATTAACATGACTACACTGCTCCTATTTGGATCCTTCAGCATATACCAACATTCACCATAATAACACAAGTGGTAAAGAGAAAGCCACATGGTGAATGAAGTAGCCTATATTTTTTAACGTATAGTTCAGTTCAAATGTTATTGTGTAAAGCATAACACTGCAACCCTTGAACATTTTCTGGTAGTGTATAGAACTAAGCATCAAAGGCTGTCTGACATCCCTTAATTGAATCATTGATGTGTTTTTTTTTTTCAATCATTCATGCATTTATTCATTATTTCCTTTTGTTAATGGCAATTCTTCTCTTTAGAAAACATTTACAGTATAAACAATATCAATATATGTGTGCCTTAACCTAATTTAAGTGCATATGTGCAAAATCAAGCATGTCATAATGCCATTATATAATTTAAGAAATGTATTCTCATGCATTGTCTCATTTAACCAATCCCTGTAGCAGTTTCAAAGTATCACCAGCAGAGGGGGGCACTTTGCACGTGTAGGCCTGTTTGTTCAGAGTATGACGTTCATGTGTCTATAATGACGTTTAAAGTGGTATTTCCACACTAAACAATTTCGCCCAAATCGTAACGTGTAGCCTAATAAAAAGCAAGCCCAGCTTGTTTAACAAGGAGACAATGGTGTCAGTGAACATCGTTTGCAATGTGACACATAGGGCCATATGTGAAGAAAACAAAATAAGAAACATTATTTTGTGCAGTAAACACTGTGTAACACATTTTACTTTAGCCTCTGTTTTATGCGCGATCTTACATTTTCCTTTATCTGCTACAAAATAAAGGTTGAAATCCACTACTTATTCCTAACAGAAAGTGCTGTTGCAAGGAAAGTTGTTTGTAATACTATAATAGCCTATAAAACATGGATGTCAGTTTAAATTTTGAATAATTGTGTAAAAATGTTGTGTATTACCATGTTAATTTGTAGGCTATACATAACCCCAACATTCATTTCTTTTTAATTAATACAAAAAATAAGAAACATTTTATTTTAAAGTTGGCAAAAAGATTATAAAATACAAAAAAAGTTTTTAATTTTGTAAATGTTTTTTATACTGTATTAATATATACAGATGTATATAACCTAACATAAAAAATATAATACTATGGTAACATGCTAATATCCAAAAGAGCATTAAAGAAAAGCTATTTTTTTTCCCATGTAGGCTACTTTGTTTTTATCATTATTATTGCAGTTTCAAAGGTTTGCAGGATTTGATCTCTCTGAAGCGTATGCTATTGTGTTGATGCAGCTGTCACGCAGGAGGGCGATAGTGCTTCATATCCTGTTGAAATAATCCAGTTCAGTCTGTTTAAGACAGGTGCTAAAAAACCTGAAAGATGTGCAATCGCACCAGTCACAGCCATCCCCTGCACAGATGAACAGAAACAGTATGCTTTGTTTATATACAAAGGTTTCTTTACATGTCATTAATGGCCATTGGTCTAGTCTAATAGCATACTGTAACTTCGATGTTCTTGAAGCTTCTTTTCTATTAATAGAATCGTGTCATATTTCAGCACTAGACAGCGCCAGAAATTAGTCAGAACTTTCTGTATCTGTGATACAAATGTGCAATCTTATATTCTTCTAATATTAAAACACATTTCTGCATATATTTGTTTGTTTTGTATTATAATTGATACATGGATTTTATGTCTTATAGTAGTGATAATATATAGCTCACACTTGAGGGTAAAATAAAACTTAATTACATTCAGAAGCCCCAACGAAGCAAAAATCTGCAATTTGATGCAATTATTTTATATGGCCAAAAAGATGCATGAAATTCTGCTTGTAATGTAAATCAATGAGATCTTTAAAACTGTATAGCAGACTACTTAACACACAATGCATATAAATAGTTGTCGCTAGGCTATATCTCCCTACATATATCACTATCACAACCACTATATATTAATACTATATATCTTATTGAGATGATATATAAATGCTTTGATCAAAGCTCTGTAGTTTTTATTGTAGGGGCAAAGCATGTAATGCCACATTTGAGAGATGAACAAATAAACGTTCCTCAAGGCCTGTACATTCATATTTGATACTTATAAATAAATATATAAATAAATACAAAATAAAAAAATGATGTATAGGTAATCAAAACAACCAATAGTAAGATAATCAATAGTAAAGTTGCTTCAGTAAAAGTTCATCTTGAAATATTAGGCTATTAACAAAATGTTATTCTTAAACATTAATATGCCTTTATTTTCAAAGAAAAATAAACTAAAAATCAGACGACAGAGGGCACGATTGCGTACAACAACAAATTTTTTGCACAGTTTTGATCATGCTGATAATGTAGAGGCCTTATAAATTTACATATCAATTATGATAGCCTACTGTAATGCATCGCTGCAATGAAAGCGATGAATGGTATTTAATTTTTTTTAAATCATATATAACTGCAAAGAATTAGAACCAGTGCACAACCTTCTAACCCTAAAACCTAGTGGACTTATTGCATTCCTGGGCTCATTGGCAGCAGGGACCTTGCAGTGACTGGACAGCTGAAAAGGAAATGCATTATATTAACATAGTGTTGGCATAAACATTTGATACATGAGAATTATGTTTAAAAAAATCATAAAAACGCCAGAAAGTTTAAGATAATCCGTTTATTTTTTGTGTATGCCTATGTTTTGAATTGATTAAATCAAGAATATTGTCTATTTATTTAGGCCTATTTATTTATTTATGAAAAAAAGTTGCAGGCTGCAGCAGAGAAAAACATAAACATTGTGACAGCTTTGTGACAACGTTCACCATACAACAAATTGCAATTTTCAGCATGTTGCCATAACGTTGTTAGAAGGATACAAGCTTTGTGGCTGCATTTACTTTGCCCACTTACAGTTACATTGTTTACACTAACATTTTACACACCCAAAATTTGAAGAATACGCTTATATAAATGGACAATTTGATAAAACTAATACTGAATGGGGTGCACAATGCTTCAGCTTCATTCACTGAGTCCCGCATTGTGCACCTCCCCCCACTCTTAAGTGAATGGTACGCTCCAAAGACAAGGCGCATGTGAATCAAAATGAAAACACTGAGTGCCATCAGATATACAATAGAAAGAAAGGAAACTGGAGGGATACCAAAAAATGCAGGCATATGGTGATACCGAATCAGTTTGAAAGCATCTGGACTTCTTCGAACAAATTATGTGAAACACTCCATACTACAGGCTTAACATCGTGACAGTTGTCTTATTAGATCACAGACCGGATTCTGAATGCTTCGGAATGGAAAAAAGCCTTCGCCACAAAGGATGCTAAACCGGAGTTATTAGCGCTTCGTGTGAGCAATTAAAACCACTGATCACGAGCTGTCACAACGGTAAGTTCTGTGTTTTTTCACCATCTAAGTCCTTTATTGTTCAGATTTTTCGCGCTGTTTTTGTAACCAAAGAAGTTTTCAAACCTTAATATATCGCGAAAAAAGAATTCAAGGTGTTTTACTGATAGTACTAAACATTGGGAGGTTAACGTTATATGTTGGAGGGTTTGTTCAGTTTTTTTGTCCACAATGCGTTTGATTACGGTGGGCTGAATTACGATGTTAAAATGAAGTATCACAAGACAAAAGAGCTTTTAGGAGAATTGTCTCGAAGATTTCTTCGCCATTTATATCTATATGTGATAACAGATTTTGGCAGCGGACTCGTTGTCGTTGAGCCATTGTCCAGCCCATTGTGTGTGTGTGTGTGTGTGTGTGTGTCCTTTTGTTTCTCGCGCTGTATAGGCTACATTATGCCGTGTGTGGTTGTTTTTGTCCAATAGTGTGCATAACAGCTGAGTACTGTGTCCTGGGAGCAGCAACAAGCTGTTGTCACAATATGCACTGCTATAGTGCTTGATTGTGTAGAAACGTTTTTCCACCAACACTTAAGGTATCCGCCGTGAAAACAAGCGGGATTGATCTCGTGCTCGAATGCTGTGGACGAGTCACGTGTTCCTCACGACAGAACTCGCTTATTGTTTTGTTATGTCGTCACTGTTGTAATCCTGTACCCACACTTTACCAATAAAATATTTCTGGATGAACGATTCACAAACATTACATTATATTAAATTGGAGGTGACAATAGGTCTTTTGTTTGTGTTGCTTGTCTGTAAGGTATAATTATTCAAGGGTGTCTGGCCTAAAGAAGCCCCTGAAGTGTTCATTTGAAGATATGACTTATTAATTAAAGTTTGATTATTTCAATAGTTTAAATAATGAGAAAATAGGTCTGAATTCACATTAATACAAATTAAATGAAGTTCCAAATGTAGGTTAAATGTAGAAGCCTAATCATTCAGTCTTGTCAATCATCATTACGAGCCTATATAAGCAGCTCTCATTGCATCGTCCCAGCGTCAATTCTTACAGCATCCCTCCACCTCCCCATCTCCTCCTCTATTTCTGTTTTTCTCCCTCTAGGTAGTACTGTAATGGAGGGTTGAACTCGGCGCTCAAGCCGAGCCTCGGGTTCGAGCCTCTATTAAGGACAGCAAGCCAAGTTCATTTACCATTAACCATCAGGACTGAATGGGCAGGCGATCTTGTGAAATACAAATTCAAAGGGCATGTTTAAAAGACTTAAATGCAATTAACTGAAAACATTCTGTTTACCTCTTTAATGTTTCAGACCCTTGGATGGAAATATATAACATTTTGTATCTTTATTAAGTTATTTATTTATTTAGTGGCAGATTTCTTGTTTGAGCAGAGTGGGACTTTGCAGTATTAATTGAATATAATATAAACATTATCTTTTTTTTCAATTAAGAACGGAGCTTTTACTGAGGAAAAAAACATGAAGACTTTATTAAAGCCTTTTTATTATTTAAAAAATTATTGATGATTTGCTAAACACCCCTAATGTGCCATAGATAATTGATGTATTAGAAGGCTGGTCATTGTCCAACCACCTGTCCATTATGAAACATTTATGAAAAACAAAGCTTTTTTCCACAAACAAGAAAGCATGATTATGTAAGGAAAATATTGTTCACAAAAAAGTTGTCACATCAAGAAATGTCCTCATCTGTGAAACATTGCCCCAACACACGGAGGGATGTTAAAATAATGGGTGGGGAGGAAGCAATGTGAAAAACGTGAAGTTGTATGAAAGCCAAGTGCTGTTTTCCATAGTGATGACTATTATGTAATAATAGATGGAAGAAGGAAGCAGCAGTGCCCCTCAGAGGTCCATGTCTAATTGAGTGAGGCTGCAGCACACCAAACATTTCTGTCTTTGATTTGTGGGAGAGTGGAAGATGAAGCTCGAAGGAGAGATATAGTGAGAAAGAATGAGATGATGTGATGCAAAGAATAAATGGATTTGAATATTGCAGAGAGAAGAACGCATGATGATAGGCCAGAGCGGGGAGACCGGAAAGAGACACGTAGAGAGGTGAGTGGGAGAGCAGGAGAAAGTCGATGATAAATCCATTTCACTGCTGCTCTGCCCAGCAGTCATAGTTTCTGCATGCAGCAACACTTAAGACTTTCTGAAGCTGGCCATATTAAACAATGAGACCATAAGTGTTCAATTCATTTTCTAAAGCATTCTAAATCAGTCAGTCTCTCTACTATGCATTTATTAATGAATAAAAAATATATTTCTTTGAAGACAGAGAAATTTATGCTGTTTAATTCATAGGCTACTACATTTGCTGAAAAATGCTTTTCAGATATCCGTTGCAGTAACTTTTTAATGCAGATAATTAAATCGTACTATACTATTCACAAGAGGACAGAAATTTCATGCAGTTTATCTGTAATCCTCTTTGTGACAATTTTACATTACATTTGCTGTCTCTTTTGTTAGATCTGTTCTTGCACTGATCTACTGTTGAATTTGCTTTCTATCCCTATTTCGCATTTGTCTTCGATCAGTTTTCTGCAAGCAACACGTCTTTGTGCGTGGGTAAGATTACTGGCATATTAGAATTGTCTCATAGGCACATCACTCATCTTTTGTTCGTCCTTGGCTTTTAAAAGACTTTGAATGTCTCTATCTAAGCTTGTACTCCATAATATGATACATTAGAGCAGATGTTTGGTGAGTCATGTAATGATATAAGAGCCAGGCAAAATATTCCCCTGTGAATATTGTACATCTATCTACTGATCCCCTGCCATGCCATTGAGATTTATGGTTTAAATTAGCACACCACCCTGTGTTCTTAGCTGTGGATGTGAGAGCTGAGTGTCTTTCTTTGTTTGGCTTCACAATGCTCTCTCAAGTGGAAAAAGAAATTATTTTTGTATGAGCTTTACCTGGAGTCATTTTATTATAAGCTGCATTTATGATGGATGGATTTCTGAAAACTTCATTTATCACTTTGAGCCAAATTTAAAGCTTCTTAATGGGCCAGAAGATGGTTTAAGCAACAGATGACGCTTAAGCTAATGTTTGCTTTTAGACTCCGGTGTTGATTTGTAGTCGTCATGTTGGATTTGGCTGAGGAGGGACACTTTAATCTGAGAAAAGCCTATTTAGATCTTCATCTCTCAGTCTCATCCCCAGTGAAAATCACCAGAGGACTTCAAGGCATCAGTTCAAAAGAAGTGAAATGGGTATCTCGAAGATGTTGCTGGATTTGGCTTTGGTGTTGGTTAAATCAGGAGATGTGATTAAAAGCTAGAATAAAATAGTGACAAAAGAGGCTAATTCTTTGATTTCTTCTCTATTGTGACGTATATCGTGCTTCTTGAAGCAGAAAAATGAACTGCGGGACTTGATTTTGCCAGCTGATTCTATTATTGGATCGTTGTTGAGTATCATATTGATACATTAGGCTTTTATGGCTCATAAAGTATGATATAGGAGAATAAAGGGCTCCTATTCGAGGAGGAAAACACCTCAGTTTATTCAGAGATCCAACCTGAGCAAAAATATGCCATTTGGTGCAGTTGCTGATATTTGGCCAAAAAGTAAAGAAATTTCTAATAGATTGTAATGTAAATTAATTTTTATAACATATAGCAGACTACTTGCATAAAATGCACATAAATATCATTTGTTTTAGTAAGATCATATTTAAATGCTGAGTTTTATGGGGAGTTACTAAACATTTAATGCAATTTTAGGTTAAAAAAAATATTGATGTGCACAGAAAAATGATGTATAATAAACACTGCCACTGTCCTTCCATAAAAAATCAGAGTCAATTTTAATTTCATGGTGACTTGAACATGCCTCCAATTTTTCTGAATAAATTTCATTTTCCCAATTGATTTCTTCTAATTATTATGCCCATCTGTGACATTGCCTTAAATTTCAGCCTCAAAAGCTCAGAGGTCTTCATAAGCGGGATTCTGTGAAAAGCGCATGATCTTAACTCACAAATGGGGCTGTTCTTTGCTCTTAGTATGATTTTTTATGTGTTTTTTTCCTGACTGCGGGGGAGAATGATGCGCTTAATGTATTTCCTCCATAAATCTCTCAGTAAATAGTTCTTTATCTGCCCGTTCCTGCTTTCTTTACTCTTTGTTTTCCTGATTTTGTTCTTCCTGTACATGCCGGATAGCACCCTCTCTTCCCTCAGGCCTGTCTTTACTCTATCCACTTCTGCTCCAGTGGACTGTCAGAGACTCTGTTCCTAGCCAGGCCAAGAATAGCTAAATAGATGCTCTGTATCATCCCAGAGAGCAGCCTGGGAAAATCACCAAAGCATTTGATTTGGACACAAAGTCGGTGGCAGAGGTCACCCAGCCCTTTTGTAAGCTCGTTTGGTTTGTATGTGTGTGTGCATAAGAATATGCTTTCACCACATGTGTATTGGGACAAATGTAATGTGAAGCCAAGGCTCGGACATAATTATGTTATGTACTCACTTCATTTGTTTGCTCAGATTTACATGCTAACGACTGATTGTGACTGGGGCCCATTGATTACTGATCCACCCACAGCACAATCAAGAGCAATCAGAGGTAAATGGGCCACTAATGAAACAATGAAAATAATGAACATCAGATCAGAAGTATGAAATGCCACTGCTTTTGTTGTTTTTTCTTAGACTTTTCTTGCTGTGTATTCTTTGAAGTCACTAGCTTTTATCACAAACCTCAGACTCTTTTTCCTTTCCTTTGTCCTGTCTGTGAAAGTGGAATGAGTTTGGAGGGGTTCACCCAGGGGCCTCCCAGCTTGACTGTGTGCCAAGAGCATTGAGTGCTCTGCTGGCCCCCATGCTGATGCAATGTATGTTTTTTTCTGAAAATGTTAGATTGGTGTGTTCTGCTCTGTAGCATTTCGAGCCGTACAGGACTGATGTGTAGTGCAATTGAGTAGGCCGGTTCTAATCTGAAGTCAGCTGCATTGGCTCTGAGGTGGTGATTATGTTGCT